CACACACACACACACACACACACACACACACACACACACACACACACACACACACACACAGAGAGTGATATATCAATGTTGGTAAAATGATGAATGAAGGAGCGTGGTTGAACGATGTGCGCAGTCTATCCCAATCGCGCCGATGACATGGATCCGCAACCACCTGTGGGCACTTCTTCCGCTGAGGCGCCAGGAAGGCTGTCTGGCGACAACCGGTCTCACCATTAGGGATATGGGTTGTCCGCAGTTTGCAACCACTTCCTCGACATCCAGCTCTGTGGAGGACAGCAGAAGCTTTCTTCTGTCCAGTAACAGTGCTAAATTACATGGAGGAGAGGGCCAGATATCCATCCACTTATATATGCAGTAATTTAAACTTGGGCGTTACAGCTTTGCGCTGCTTTCCCGCACTTTGCAAGTAATCTCCTTCCGTAAGGCGATGACGTGCCGTAATCCCAATAAACGACGGCCCTTCCGCCATCCCTCAACCTTGGCTGCCAAGTGCTACCTTGATTGACAGTGCGGCACGAGTGCTAGTATCTTGGGGCAGAGGACGGGGCCAGAAATGTGCCTACCCTAAACCCTATTCCCTATAGCCTATGAGGGCATAGTCACACTACTACCTGACACTTTCCAAAATGAATCTCACCGCGATTCGGGCGGAATATATGCCCTCACTGCTGCAGAAGTGCTATCTTCGGGCTGCCGGTAGGCCGATTCCGTGCCCACCCGCTTAAACCCTAAACCCCAAAAACAGAACAAAAACAAAACTTTGCATTTTGCCCCTCAAAGGTGTCGTCCTCACTGATTTGCCCGTAGAAGTGGCCAAAGCCCTCGTAGGCCCTGCTGATGCGCGACCTTGGCAGCGGACCCCTGTCCGAACTGTGCAACTTTGCGCCATGCCCCCAGGCCCCCGCCACCTTGGCAGCGGACCCCTGTCCGAACTGTGCAACTTTGCGCCATGCCCCCAGGCCCCGAGCAGCTTGACCTCAGGACCAATGGTCAGAAGTACGGGGCATCCTGCAAAGTTGAACTAGCACCTGAAGGGGCATACGGAAAAGATGTTCAGGTCAATCAATGTAGCAAACATTTGGTAAGTTCGCAGCCCTAAGGCTGCGGTATAGTGGGCTTCGGCGTCTGCGTCAAGGTGTCGCATTTTCGGCGGCGGCGACCAGGACCCAAAGTGGGTTCTTAGAGGGTAAAAGTTTGGGGGGGACTGGTCCTTGGCAAAATTGGGGACTACCTACAGGCAGCTCTGGAATTCGCAGCCCGTCAGGGGTGCGTTTTATGCCCCTGAGAACATTTTTCGTCGTCGTTCGTTATACTGTCGTTGGAAGGCTGGAAAAATTGACTTACCGTGAGGGCACGGGTGCGCAGCCCGTGGTTGGTTTGTTGATGTTGTTGTGTGTGTGTGTGTGTGTGTGTGTGTGTGTGTGTGTGTGTGTGAGAGAGAGAGAGAGAGAGAGAGAGAGAGAGAGAGAGAGAGAGAG